AGCGACTAGTGACGTTCCAACGGCGATTCATGTTACAACAGCGTTTTGAGGACGTTTGGCGGTGACCCACATCCGTTCGAAGCCCGATTTAGGCTACCCACACCTTTGCGAGCTAGATCTAAGTTACCCACACCTACACGAAGTCAATTTTGCGGTAATCGTATATATAACTTGCTGTTTTTTTCGGAGCCATTTGAACCCTCTTAGAATTGATTTCGGAGGCTGAATCGTATATATAACTTGCTGTTTTTTTCTGTTTTTAGTGCCTAGGTGTGAGATCGACGCAAAACTTAAGGGCGTGGTTGTGAGTAAGTAGACAGGGGCGTGTGCGTGCGTTAATGTGTGTTAGTTGGTTTCCATCGTGCTGTTTTGTGATGTTTAATATTGATTTTGATACGCTTTTGTGCTAGGTAACTCTCGTTTGTGTTAATCTGTATGCTTGGTGTAGTGTTGAATATTCGTCGGTGATAATGGTGGAATTTTGCCTTGTTAAGCTGCTGAGAATTGTTGTGGAATGATGTGTGTTTACAAAGGATGCTCGTTAAAATGGAATTATTACGATCATGCTTTCTTATGATGTGGGCGTGATAGTAAAGTTTATATAAATGTTTCTTTATGATGTGAGCTTGCTGGTTGAGCATATATAAACGTTTCCTTATGATACGAGCGTGCTGGTTCGAGTCATATTATTTTCTTATGAGATGTCGGTGTAATAGAAGCATGTTTTCGGACCCTGTTCGCAGGATAGGGGTTGTTGTGGAGTTGGTTATGATAAGAAACGTTGGATTCTTGTGGAAAGTAAATGGGTGGGTGTCAGGGCCTCGAGTATAAACGGTCGGGGGCTGATACGTCACCAATTGGGTATCGAGGCCTCGGGTAAAAACGGTCGAGGGTAGATACACCAATATTGGATAAAGATGAGTGTCGAGGCCTCATGTATAAATGGTCGAGGGTCGATGCGAGGAGTCTTTTGAAAGGAAAACTATTGGGGCCTTGGGTAAAACTGTTCAAGGGCCAATAGATTGTAAAGTCATCGAGGCCTTGGGTAAAAATAGTCGAGGGTCGATACAGCAGTGTCGGGGAGCTGGGTAAAAATTGTTAGGGGCCGACACTACTCGAAAGAGTTAGCTTTGGAAAGCTAGGATAGTTGTGATGAGCGTAGAGGTGCTTGAGATGTTAGGGAGCCTCGAGGTTGGTAGTTGAATCGTTTATGGTTGTGGTTATCATCGGATCTTATAGAGCGTGTCTATGTTTGATTGCATAATGTGATGAAGAGCATGACTATGAATGTTTCATGATTTTTTTTTAGTATGATGTTCGTGTGTTGTTGGTGAGGGCTACTTACGGAGTATATTTTTATATACTCACCCCCCTCTGCAATTATTGTTTCAGGCAGAGAATTCGTTGCCGACCATGGTGATGAAGCGGAGGAGACATGACGAGCGAGGACCATAGGCTGCGTAGTTACTTTTGCTTAGCTTAGGTTTAGATGGTTTAAACTTTATTGCTTGGACAACAAACTACTTGTTCCTATCTGATTTATTGGGAGGTTCCCACTTGTTGTCTACTTTGATTCGGAATAGGTGTTTATTTTAGTTTCTTCCATTCATTGAGTTTGCCTAGTTGGAATAATGAAATTGCTTTATGGAGCTGTCCACGGATGATGATTGATTGATAATCTATAGGATTGATTCTTTGGTAAATTGATGGGWGTTGAAGCTTTATTTTATATAATTATTTCACACGGAGTTAGTTATCTCGTGTTTAGAGATAAGGTTAGACAGGTGGGTAGTTAACGTTACCTAGAAGCGTGTAGAACGTTCTGGGGCGTTACATCCTGTATGACCACAATACATCGGGTAGCTCCTCTACCCACCGGCCCTTGCGATCCTCTAGTCTTAATTTTAGGCCGCGCTTTATAATCTTGTTAATAGCCTCCACCTGGCCATTGGCTTGCGGGTGAGCTGGCGAGGGGCTGAAATGCTTTATCCCRAGCTGTTCACAAAACTTGTTGAATTTGGGGTTGTCGAACTGCCTTCCATTTTCGGTTATGATGGCGTGGGGTATGCCAAACCTATAGACGAG